CTGCAAAGGGCGGATTCAACTATGTCAGCAAATTCACGGATGAATATTCCAGAATGAACGTCGTGTACCTGATAAGGACCAAGGACGAAGCCATCGACACACTGGAACGATTTATTGACGACATCATCATACCGAATGGTTTTCGACTGGAGCGGCTTCGGAGTGACTGTGGAGGAGAGTACACAGCTGAGTACTACAAGAAGTTCTGCAAAACAATTGGAATCGTCCAAGAATTTACGGCACCGGCAACACATGGGGCGAGTTGTGCTGCACGGCGGTACACATCACGAATCGCCTGCCGCATGTACATCTGAACAACGAGACGCCTTACTACCGGATGTTTGGAAAACAAGCTTCGCTACGACATCTACGGGTTATCGGATCGTCAGCGTTCGTACACGTCGAAACGTACAAGACTAAGCTTGCAAATCGAGCTTGGCCCGGAATACTGGTTGGGTACAGCCCCAACAGCAACGCTTATTGGATTTATAATCCGCATACCAAGCGCATCGTTCCATCGAGAAACGTGATTTTCATCGAACCAATGGACGCGGCCATGCCGCCGGTCATACCGACCATTGAGGAACTACGCGACTACGAACCGGAAAACGAATTATCGGTTTCCGCGGATGTCGACATACCCGGAAACGAGGGGGAAGTGAAAGATAATTCGAAATATGAGGAGGACTACTACGAGGAAGAAGGACAACAAGAACAAGAACAAGAACAAGAACAAGAACAAGGAATTATACCCCGCATGCACTTGCGAAGCAGCGGAAGGAATACGGATATTCAACAATCAACAAACAACAAACGGCAGCAAGCGGAGCTACGGAGGCTATCGCCATGGAATAAACTAGCGACTTTTGTCGACCAAGACCAAGACCAAGCCCAAGATATAAGAATCAAGAATCCATCAGCCGGAGAACCTGTCCGGCCGCCAGCATCTATACCTGTACCCACTACATATCAAGAAGCCAAGAGGTCTATGGATGCCGATCAATGGAAAGCAGCTATGGACAAGGAGATGAGAAGCCTGAAAGATCATGATGTGGCGGATCTAGTTCCAATTCAGAGTCTACCTCCTGGAGCTAAACCCATTGGATCGAGATGGTTATACAAGATGAAAGCAACCGGAGTTATGAAGGCAAGACTCATCGTCCAAGGCTGGGGACAACGGCATGGAATCGACTGTGGAGGAACCTACGCACCTGTGAGTAGATTTAGCTCACAGCTGGTCTTAATGGCAATTGCAGCGGAAAGAGGATACGTTGTGGAAACGATGGACGTGGTGACTGCATTTCTTCAGAGCAAAGTGGAAGAAGTGTATGTTCGTCAAGCTAAAGGATACGAAATAATGGATGAAGTGACGGGACTACCGCTGGTGATGAAGCTCAAGAAAAGCTTATACGGATTGAAGCAGAGCCCTCGGAACTTCGGCAACGCATTTGCCAAAGGAATAAAAGAAATCGGGTTTACTGCTCTACTGAGCGACCCGTGCGTATATGTGTACGGTGCTGGACCGACATATGCGATACTATGTGTGTACGTGGACGACTGCACACTAGCTGGAAAGACACCGAACGTGGTTCAAGATTTGAAGAAACAACTATCGGACAAATTCAAGATGACGGACGGAGGACCAGCGGAACTACTACTAGGGATGGAGATTTCTCAGAGCGACGGAGAAATCGCAGTGAGCCAATACAAATATGTGATGAACATACTGGACAAGTATCAAATGAAGGACTGCAAATCAGCGGCGACTCCAGGATGCGGGCCAGAAATTGAACAAGAGCCGGAGAATGCTATATATTTAAGTGACGAGGACAAGAAACTCTACCAGGGAATAGTCGGAAGTCTCCTCTTCTTGACTAACACGACGAGATGGGAGATTGGATATGCCGTCATGATCCTGTGCAGAGGGATGAACAAGCCTACCAATCAACATATGGTCGGAGCAAAGAGAGTGCTGCGATACCTTCGAGGATGCCCGGATATGCCACTAAAGTTCAGGAGAGGACAATGGGACCTGAAGTGCTACTGTGACGCGAGCTTCGCTGGATCGGGCGAGAGACTTCAGAAGCGTTCTTCTACTGGATACATCTTCATACTTGCGGGAGGCGTCATCAGTGCAGCATCAACTCTGCAGAAGCTAACAGCACAATCAAGTGTACATGCGGAGATCATCGCGATGGCTACAGCAGCGAGGGAAGCAATTTATCTGCAAGGTGTACTATCGGAACTTGGATTTCCATGCGGCAATATCCCGCTTCATTCGGATTCAACGGGAGCGCTGAGCATAGCAGGAAACTCCATGTTTCGAGGCCGTAGCAAGTTCATCAGCACGAGATACTGGCTACTTCGCCAGAACGTAAACCAGGGAAACATTGTGCTAAAGTTCGTGAGGAGTGAGGAGCAGCTTGCGGACATATTGACCAAGCATCTGGAACGTGTCCAATTCGTCAAACTGCGAACATTGGTTCAAGAACATGGAGGATCTACGAAATAGGAGATTTCACATGGCGGAGCATCAGATGTGACAGTTTCAGATGTATAAGGACAACACGAGAAGGCTGGTACGACGACTACACACCAACCACTACCAAGAAGAACAAGACAGGACTACCTGGACAACAACGACAAGGAAAGACATCACAAACAAGACAGGACTACCTGGAAAACAACGACATACAAGACCGACAAGACCAAGGAGGTTTACTTCCTGGACGACAACAACAACAACAATAACAACAGCGTCATCATCGAAGACGTCTGGAGACACAACAACGGCTTAATTGCTACACTGGAGAAGGAGACGGGATGAGAAGGAAAGTAATGACGTATGAAATAGTTATACCGAACATCAGTAACGTAGAGAAGAGTGAATTTTGTGAAAGTATAGTGAATCCCGGGCATGGACATCACAGACATGATGTGTGCTTCACGGTCATTCTGTCTACATGGAAGAATGAACGGTTTTACGAAGAGGTGTATGTGATACTTCGTATGAGGTGTGATTCTGGTAAGGTAAAATAATTGGCCAGATGAAAGAGAAATGCTGTGATAGAGGTATGTGTTTACGTACGTGCTAAGAGCGTTGAGGTACAGTAGTATGCGACGAATGAAAGGTTTACTATGGTCATTCAACCGTAGTCAATGTATTTCACTATTGTAGAAACAGTTAAACGCAGTTGTTTTTTAGTTGAGCAAACTTGGGGACGAAATTCTGATCTTTGTTCACTGAATGCGGGGAGAGAATAAGAAGATAAGGAGAAGAAAATAAGGACGATTATCTTTTGGAGCAGGAGAGCAGCTGAACAGGCAGTTGTTGAAGCATGAGTAACGCGCGTACCGTTATACAAATTATGGGGGCGTGTGTAATGTAAGAGTACTGAATTGAAGCAGGTGCGTAAAAGACTTGCAGGATTTATGCAGTAGATTTAGAACAACACTGGGGTTGTTGAAGTGCACGTAACATTGCATCCATCATGGGGGCGTGTTGAAATACAGCGCATCACTGCTGTAGGATGTGTGTAGTAGAATAGATGCAGCTGTATGATTGCTGTATGCAATGATACGTACATGCGGTGTGATATGTGACGTTTGGTAAAACGTAACATGTATGACGAGTTCTAGCGAGGAACTCACGAATGAATTGATGGTTGAGCAGAGGATTGTAATTGTAGCGAGATCACGAGGTGTTGCGAGCCCCACCGGGTTCACTCCCCAACTATCCCTCAACATCTCACCTCTGCAACTGAGCTAGGCTCCGGTGCCACCGGCAGGCAATAATGAAAGTCTCATTGAGGCAACAATGATACCAACTTCAGTCTCGACGACTACACGCAGGCTTAACCGCCTGCAGACACGACCCTTGGGTACAGGGCACCTCGACACGACACATTTCTACAAACACGACAGGGTGAAGCGTCATGTCTCGAGAGCGGTCTAGCGACGCCGTCACCTCAGCTTCGGTCCAGGGCGTTGACCCAACCAGATCTTCCGTCACATCCACACGCGTGGGGAACTGCCCACCCATTCTTTCGCAGGCAGAAATCCGTGGCTTTTGCCTTTCCAATCCCGGGAAACTTGCTGTACAGCAGTCGTTGCCTGAGACGGATGCCCACAGCGGCAGGCGGGCCATCACCTCATCCGGTCGACTCGACCACCACACTGCATCTCCCGACCCGCCTTGGTCGACACCGTGCAACAACCTTAGGAACTCATGCCCATGCGTCGTGCCAGCACGGAGGGCATGCATCTGCGGGCGCGTGATACCCTCATGCGTGAAGATGTTACCGAACAGTCGCCCTTCTTCCGACACGACCTCCCAGAGCAGGGAACGCACGCCGATGACCATGAATGAGGTCGCTGTCATTTCCACGTACCAGGACACGTTTCCCCACGCGTGTAAACATCTCCTCCAAGACACGCAGCTGCGGGTCGGCCTCATAGGGCGCGGTTATGCACTCGCATCGTAACGCACGAGAGACAACACGTGAGACCCTGGCGACGATGTGACTCGTAAACGCTATCGCCTTCACAGCTGCTTTCTGTAGACCTGGATCCTGAAGCGGCACGTTGGACTCCCGTAGACCAAAGGACTGCTGCCGTGCCCGCTCTCTCTCGCTAGACCTCGAACTCGTGGTTGCCCCTTTGCCGGGTGGAGAAGCCCCGTCAAAAACCACGGTGATCCCCCCCATGCCGAAGCAAGCTTGTTCAGGCTTGTGGCCATCGACATCGCGAGGGAGACGACGTTGTCGTCCAGCACAAGAGGAACTGCCACGCTCCCGATGCCAGCAGCTTTGTGCAACGCAAAATGACCGTCGACGACCAGGTGCTTCTGTCTCGTGCCATCTTCGTCGTCGAGAGGTACCCTCTTCGAAGCTACCTCCTTCGGGTATGCCGACAATCCGCTCACTCCCATGGCACTCCGTTGGAGGTAAGGATGTGCTATCGCGCAGCCCAGCCGTGCTCCTGCTGCGTGGAGGTAGGTGAAACTTGGGTGACAATCCTTTTTTTTTATCGTTCGGTGTTGTTGCCGTTGGCAGTCTGTTGGTTCTTTTTGGAACGACCATACATGATATACATTGCCCTTGCGGGATGTGACTGCAGGGCATTTTTTGGATTGGACGGGTGGCCAATGGCCCGGATTTTGTTGGAAAATCCCCAGACATCCACCCAGGTTAACCCGCATGGGTTGCTTCCCAGATCCTCGCCTCCCTGGGTAGGGGGGGGAGTGTTGATTTGTGCCCGGTGTGTATGACGTACCGGTTTTTTCGCTTGGGCAGCTAGAACCAACGCGGGGGCTTTCGTTTGGGGGTCAGTTTCCCTCCTCCCTTTTTTGGGGGCCCCCCCCCCCCCCTCGTGGTTTTGTGGCAAAGTAGTAGGCAGGAAAAACATATGTATACAAGTGCTTGGCGTCCCAAGGGTTTATACTGGACACATCTGAATGAAGCCAACGAAATGAGGTGTCATTGTCTTTCATCACCTTTTTTTGGTTACAACGGACAATTTTCACATATGCAAGCAAGGAACCAACACACCAACACTAGACTAGAGCAACGTGTTGACTTCGTGTGTGCCCCCGAGGTCTGGATTTCAAAGTCTACAGGAAACTACCTACTTTTTCGCGCTTTCCATGGCGTCCATCCGGGCGTTAGAAACATGGGAACGCATACGATCCCGATTTCTTATTATTTTCGGGGCCCGTCGTGGTTCTTGCGGGCTATTCGTCCATTATTGAGCTATTTGTAAGACCGAGCGACCTTAAAACTGTCTAAAAAAAAAAAAAAAATGTAAAAAAAACGGGCGCTCCTTGCGCGGATAGGGAAACAAAAAATAGCCGCGTCAACGCTAATCCCAAAGCGCTAATATTTTTTTATTTTTCTTAGTATGACACACAATATTTTTCTACTTTCATGTTCCCGCATGGGAAAATACAGCAACATGCCACCACACTATGAACGGAAATATCCCACAACTAGATAGAATCGTGTAACGCTGGACGTTTCGAAGAAAAAACACCCTACCAATATGCGATATGTGACGCGAACGTCACTGTCGTTCCGACAAAAAGCCTAAAAGAGGTTGTGCATCATCCAGCTGCCGGGGTTTTGGGGTATGAAACTCGCCGCTGCCACGGGTGGTAGGCGGGGTGCTGCATGAAAGCCGGGGGCCGCGCCGTAGTATGGGTGGGCAGGCGCTTGCATGGGGTGAGCGGCAGCCGGTGAGCGGCAGCCGGTGGGACGGCCTGCTGATTGATGTCGGTCGCCACTGTCTGCTTCCTGTGTATTGTGTGGGCAATCACGCGTCAATCGACCGCAAAGGGAAGGGAACAACATGTATTTAAAGGGGGTAACCATCCGTTCTCTAACCATCCGTTCTCTTGCGAACGGGGTTTTGTCCACCCAAGACTCGCAGTACATCGACACCGGAATCTCAAGCAAACAAAACCATCTTCTACGCACCTCGGGCGGCCCCGCTTATGTTTCTTGGGAGGACAGGGCGTCTCGGCGTCGCTCGAGGAAGAAGACGGGTCGGTGGAAGACGATGACGGTGATGGGATCTCTCTGTGCCTCTTGCTCCTCGACGACTTCGACGGCGCCTTCTTGGAGCGCCTGTGTACGATTCTCGGTCGGGACGGAAAAACAAAGCTAAGAACAGCAACCTGCGGTGACTGCAGTAACCGGCACATCACTCAAACCGAGGACATGAGCCGAACATGTACACATCTTGTGCTCGACGGAGCTACTCTGACCGACCCCGCTGTCCGAGGGGGCTAACTGGTTCGGAGACAACTTACCGGATAGGTGTCGGGTCCGGGGGCGTCGCAGCCGGTTTTGTGGCGGATACAGTCCCAACGATGTACTTGGTCATGGCCATCAGTCGAGGTTCGATCAACCCATACACTTTTGCGGCAACGTCGTCGACCAGCTTCGCATGTTGCGTACCGTACACCGTCACCTGTGCCCGAATGATATTTGGGTGGGGTGGGCAGGGAGGGGCGTCGTGCAGGAGTGAGGGGAATGTCGGCATCAAATGGTGCTAAAGCGAGTACACATGATAAACCAAAACCACAAACCACACACACGCCGAACATTCGTAGTGGATTGACGGCTATCCACCTATTTCGAGGACCACCTATTCGAACGCCGTAGTCCTGACAAAACAGAGACGGCAGATTAATCATCTCTAACAGCAGGTACCTGACTCTGTCGCGAGCGAGATAAGACCAAGGTGCTGGCGACACATCTAGCAGGCAGGTTTTGAAGTACGAAACACCCGCGAAAACGGGTACCGACTACGCAGTCATGTCAAGGCGACCTACAGCAGTAGTGAAACGGTAAACACAACCTACACAGCATACGTCGTTTTGTGGCCCGCAACGCCTCCTGCACGTATATTGCTTCTCGGCGCCTATGCCCCCAGCTTAAAATCGGGGGCAACATACATCGCATCACCTGACGCTCCGGCTTGTCCAGCTATACCCCCGGTGTTGAACTTCCCGGCGGTGCGGGTGAAAGCGGCGTTCCGGCACCTCCTACGATCGAGATCGAAGGCAAAGGGTCGAGGGAGGCGAGGTAGGTTTGATACCACATTGGGATCCGACAAAAAAAAAAAGCGTCGCTTTCTTTTCCAGGTCCGCGTTGTGCCCTCTCTAGAACACCTCTACCCGACCTGATCACAAACTCCAGCTGGGGGAAAACGCCACAGCCCCCAATATATCCTAGTATACAGCAGTACATTGAGCATCTTTCTATGCGGCATTCCAGTGCATCTCGGTTCGCACACATGCTCATCTTAAACATCTTGCACCAGAATGGCTTCACACCCCGGCTTGCCTGCGTTTCGAAGAAAATATGCACATGTACAACTATTAATTGTAGTTCGCACAAAAATATGTAGTCTGCGTTTTATCTGGATATCCACGGCCCGAAATTCAAATTCCAGCTTTTAAAGGGGAAGCACACATGTGAGCATCACCTGGCGTGTCTGCATGTCCAGCTTGACCCCCGGATGAGGGCGTCTTTTTGGCGGCTTCTCCTGCAATCGAGGCCGAAGGCAAAGCGTGGAGGGCTCAGATAGAACAACTTTGTTTGCTGATTTGAGGGTTGACACACACCTCCCAAAAAAAACGTTTTCTTTTTGCCCCACCGCAGTCTGCGTTCCTCTCCGACGTTCATGTCGTGTATCTGATTTCAAATTCCAGCGTCGGTGCAAAGCCCTAGATCCCGCTTCTCTCCTAGTTTCTTGCACCAGCATAGCATGAAACTCCTGCTTGCCTGCACCCCCGGTCCTTCCAAGACTACAAGTATGTAGTTCCCATTGATACAGCAGTGCGTTGCTCTTTCTTTCTAACGCGACACGTCCGGGAATTCAAACTTCAGTTTTGAGGAAGCAAAGGGTGAGCCTCTAAAAGTACTACTGCTGTAACACTGACCGGGGCCAGAAGGTTATTTGCGGGAGCTGGCCGCCCCTCCGCCGTCTAAGCGAGGATCACGTGGTATGTAGATTGCTGAGGAGGAAGCGGTAGTGGAAGTTGCTGTGTGCGGATCCGCTTGTGGCGTCGGAGCTTCTCCTTTCCTTTGCTTGCTTCACCGCCGTTGGCCCCACCTGTCCGACAGGGACGAGACGGAAACATCGACATGTGGTTCGGAAAAAGACGATACCACAACGAACATGTGCGCAGCTACATTTCATGCCTTGCTACCTGAATGAACTCGTTCCCGACAGCTCTACTGATAGGCACAGCAGACGGCGGTCAGCCTCCGCGCTATTGCTTTGCATGTGCCCCCCCCACCCACATGCCTGAAAAATTCCAACTTTTTTGAAAATGGACTTAACGGCTCCACTCGACACAGCACCTACATGTACACAGCCCCCCCCTCAGTAGATTCCAAGATAACGTGCTCGACACACAAACCTGCTTGCTCGGGACGGCAGAACGTGCAGGCGTGGGCCTCGTTGACCACTTGCATGCATACGACGTGGCAAGCAGCCTCGCACGAATGGCACCGGCCGCTCAAGGCTCCATCTCCTCCCTGATTGCATCGACCGCCAGCGGCGCACTGCGCCGTGTTCAGGATCGCCTGACCCTCTGCTGAAGCCCAAGCTGCGGATACCGACCCACCAGCAGGGGGGCTCACCGACGGACTGCTGTACCCCCGTGCCCGCGGGCACCGCTCCTGACCCACGCCTAATGCAACCGTTGCGGCCGCAGTATTGGTGATCCCAGTCGCGGCACGAGGAGTGCGTGGAATACAATGTAGGTGCAGCGTTGTGGACACATCTGGATTTCTACCACGGGGGCCTGCAGGTTCTTGCAGCCACCTTCCTTGGCACGGTTTCCCTGATGAAACGGGGACCATCCTGTCCCCTGTTGTGTCGCCGTGAGAGGGTGTGCCCACTGCTGTGGGAGGTGGAGGGTGTGTGCCCTCGCTCCTGGCGAGGCTGCTGTAGAGTGTGTCTTCTTCCAAAAAAAATGCGGATTAATTAAATTTAATTGTTTTGTACCACCACACCCCCTCCGCCCAGAGCATTTTTTTTGGTGCGGGGGGTCCTGTTGCAAGTGGTCTATGGCTGTTGCTGTACTTCTAGACGAACACGCCACAACGCATGAGCGCAAAAAATGCTGCACATGGTATGCATGTCACTACAAAAGATAAACGATATACCACTGCTGCCGACTTGACCGACGGATTGCAGCAGGTTTCGGCGATACTACTGCTGTATCCGCGACAGGCAGAAAGTAGACGGCGTGTCGTCTATTTTGTAGGTAGAATACAAGTACTGCTGTCGGCATGTATTTGCCCACACGCAAAAGACTCTTTTCTATGATGGAGATGGTTTCGTGGTGTCATATTAAGAAAAAAAAAAAAAAAGTACAGACATGCAGCGGTGGATCACAAATTAGGTACAGCACCTGCGTGGCACCAGCATGTTTTGATGTGTATGTATGCTACAGATTCAAGAGGACACATGTGGGTGCAGCAGCTTGTACCATGAATACCACCTGGCACATGCTTCGACTTGCAGTGCGAGACAAAGAGTTGGGGGTGGCGCGGGTGCGAGCGAGTGCGGTGAGACAACAGAGAGGGGACGAGAGCGAGACACACACACACACACACCAGGCGGCGTAGACAGAAAACACGCTTCTCACAGACCTGCTGGTTTAACCTCGAGGCCCGAGACATGATGGCTTCTACTTTCAACAACCTGGCTGGCTCTATCCAGCAAGTAGCACATGCTCTCGGTATCGTGTTGCTTCGCGCTTCGCCTTGGCCCGCGGTGTTGCCTGGCGCCGAGCAGGGAAAAAAACTGCATGCGGCTGGACCTACAGCAGCGCCATTATCCGCCCTGTCTGCTGAATCCAGCCGGGACTTGCCCTTGGTGACCACCAACCCCATCTATGTTGGGCCCTACCATGGTATTGCGCGTGTGGGATCGTTGTCTGTGGAGTGCGGGGTGTGGTTGAAGGGGCATGCCCTCTCTGTGGTACGAGTAGGCTCGTTTCAGGGGCTGTTTGGACCTTGTCCCCGCTTTCTGGTGTGCTGGCGTTAAGATGCGGCGTAATTAGCTATTCCCCGAGATGACGTATGTGTTCGCATGAAGTTGGCTCTGTGTCGACCCCACGAGTTCAGAGAAGAGAGAGCTCCCGGGCAAGGGTAAAGGTCAAGTGGGCATGTGTTAAGTACCAGTTCGGTTGCAGAGATCTAGGCAGAGCTTGAGTTTGGCATGTGTGTGCGTGGATAGGTTAACAGCAACAGCAGTGTTGTTGGTATGCATGCAGCTGGGTTGAGTGCAGCAGCCGCCGAGAGACGAATCAACAACAAGTTTCCCTCAACAGCTATCTGTCCGTTCCCTTCCTCGACGACACATCCGTAAAGTCTATCAAGCATCCATAAGAGACAAGAACCTCGAACCTAGCGCAGAACCCTGGTAGTGCAAAGCCGCACTGCTGTGCATTTGATTGGGTAATTGGGTCATCAACAGAACCCCCGAAGACCAAGTATCACATTGGCGTGTCGGCGCTTGTTTCTTCCCTGGGTACGAGATCCGTTGCGTTGTTGGTTGTTTTCGGCTTTTGGTTTGAAGTACCGCTGTACCTGGTAGTCTCTTGCGTCTGCGTCATGGCCATGTGTACTCGAAATTCGGTTGTTTCCGGCTGTGCGACTTGTCGCGTGCCAGTCTCTCGTTCTGGTAGGCCCTTTTCCTTGGGCACGCCCATTGCCCGTCTCTCTTCTCCCTCTCCTACCGAATCTCCTGGGATTGGCCCGTCCGGGTCGTCACAGGGGATTTACCCATCTTGCCGGTTGCAGTACGACTCTTCGCCACGTGCGTCGTCTCCACGCGTCACCCCGCTGCTGCACAGCTCGGTGCTGTCGCCGCAGCCCGTCCTGCTGCCATGCGCCGTGTCCGCGAGGAGATTGATACCGCCCTCTCCATACGAGGACGTGTATCCGCTGGCGTTCGGGCCGTTCCGCGATCCGATACCGAGATGGTAGGTGAGACACCCTTCTTGCTCTGGGAAATAGGACGTCGACACCAAGAGTTTCCGCCTCTTGGTGACGGAATCGTCGGAACCTTGCAGTGGTGGGGGCGGGCGGAAACCGTCGCTACCGCCCTCCGACGCGTCTGGTGATTTCCGACCTTTCTAATGCTGAGAGGGGCGGAGAACCGTCCACTGTAGTTCTCGACCTACTTTGTCGGACAGTAGTAAAACACCGGCGAAGCTACCAGTTTGTGTAGCTCCGAAACCCGAGCCGACTCCGAGTCCGACAGACCGAGTGCACAGTACGAGGTTGAGTGTAATTAGCTTAGCCGAACAGGTCTTGTGTCCTGGAGTCGTAGGCGATAGAGACGAGGGAGCTGTCCGCTTGATC